AAATTAGGAATTTTGGAAAATTCAAGCCGTGAAGTCCGATTTTTGAGTCGTTGAGCTGCGTATATATATAGAATTGGTAGTTTAAGGTGTCGTGGAGCCGTGGAATTTTACGGATCTTGATTTGGAATAATCGTTTGCCCGAAACAAATTTTTGAAGTTTCCGCGTGAAGTAAATAGTACACGTCCGGCATTCTTCAGGCCATATTTTGTCGGTTTTTGTCTCAATTTTGGGACAGCCAATCTAGGGGTTTTATAATGCTATAAACGGGCTTTCTTTTGACTATAAGTTTGCTAGGATCGGAGTTTGATGGAGAAAGTTACGGCATGATCAAGTTCCGCGATCAAGTTCCGTGTTATGGATAATTTTGAATAGCCATTTCGATTGTGAGTTTCATTTAGCGCGTAGGAGTCTTTTCGTTAGCATTTAAGTTTACTATAGCCGTTTCGTAGTTATCGTAGTATTTTACTTGATTTTGACGTCGATTCTCGTTTAATTGTTAGGATTACGAGATCGTCGACTTGTTTAGCTACGTGTTATTGGTTTCTGGTATTCCGAGGTGACTGGTACTATCTCTTCTTTAGTTTTATAAAACTCATGTCTCGAAAAAATTATGATTCGATATAGATATATATATTATACTTAAAAGAGCATTCTGTTGCATAAATTAAGATCGAGCATTTACTACTTTTTAGTATTTGAGAATGACTTGGGAATCGTTTTTGGAAATGTATTATGTTTCCTAAATTGACATATTTCATAATGGGTAATAACATCTCTTAATGTGCACAATGCCGAAATCAATCAACCTACAGATTGTGGTCATTGACCATGTCACGTGAGACGACTGGCATCTACTCCAGCGGCCGGATGAATTCAATTGGCAAAATGTAAGAATATTTAGAACTCAATTGGCACTTGAAAGATTTATGAATGAATTAGTACAATTGAAATAGGTTTAGGATTTTTATGGTAATTTTTCCCGAACACTCCTCTGTTAGGGAAACCGTATTAGGAAAACTCATAAAAACAAGCGACCAGCTTCCTCCCTCGATCGAGGGTTCCGAAATCATTAAAGACAAACTTACAAAGAGAGAGTTCTTTTCTTTTTCCCTCTTTTTGAACCTGATCTAAAGAGGATGCTTGACTTAACCCTCCAATTAGAGACATCATTTCCTTCACTCAGGGGGGTAGGGTAGCACTGGACGGTGGAAAAGAACCAAAGTATCCAAAAAGGTAGCTCATGAGTCGTGGAGGGCATTCCTTTTGGGTCCATCGCTTGTAGAAAATTTCCACAAAATGATCGAGCCTGCTTACATTGATCGATGTAAAAAATGATCGATCATCTCCCAAATTTGAAATTTCTATTCATGGGTTGTAATTTTCTATGGCATGGACGTATCGAGGGGGGTGAAAAAATTTTCGAATTTCAATGAACCTCGATCTACTGTTCGTTTCACCTTGTGGCAACAATTCGTTCGAGATTCTTCCAATTGAGATATTAATCAGATAAGAACCATCTTGCATTTTGCAGCACAAGCGAACTTCTAATCAAAGTCCGGGACACTCAATTATGCGCCATATGGATTTGAAACGCGATTAAAAAAGAAAATGTGGTCTTGCGGGTCCCGGACAAAATCGTCATCAATGCACAAAGTTTTGCAATTCATATTCGGCAAGCTTTCAGTTACTGACAGGCCGCAGGCATCAAAGGTGCTTCACCATCCATTTTTTTGGAGTTCAAAGATGAGACTGTCCTTTCTTCGTGACGCCAGCGATAGAGTAGAATTGGAAGCTAGTGCACCCAATTCACGTCTTTTGAAAGAATTGGAGAACACTGCACCACTGATTTTTGATGTGAGTTGGGACGACGAAATAGAGACTAAAGTTATGGCCAACCTACGTAGACATGGAGCCTACGACGGTAGGTGTGTTAGAGACTTATTACGAGCGGTGCGAGACAATTTTAGCCACCACATGAAAGCTCCAAATCAATTTAAGGTACTCTCACGCTCTCTGGCTCTCTCTCTCTGGTCCACAGCCGCATGCATGCAAAGCTTATATCTATTACTTTGATGTTTCTGACGGGAGATCTTGGGATCGGTTCCTGAAGGTTTGGACACTTACTTTGTTGATCGATATCCTGCACTCTTGATGGAGTCCTATAGAGTGTTGTCTCAGTTTTGCAAGAAAGAGGAGGGCTTTCGGACTTACTTTCTAAGTCTTAGTTCTGCAAAAAAGAGGAAGGCTGTCGGAAGTCTCGACAAAAAAATGCAAAGGTATCAGCAGGAGACTAAATGATCTTGAGAGCTGAACTCCAAACAAGGAACTCCCCTAGTGATTCACAAGAACTTAAAAGAGTTTTCTTAGTTTGAGAAATCTAAATTGTTTGTTCCCTTGCATGAATGAGTGCACATCTAATTTAGGGCGGTGACATTTGTATGCATGATCTCAATGGAATTAGCGAACTAGGATGGTGATTTCTTCTTGAATCCAACATGGTGGCTATGAAGCAGGAATTTGTTTGAACTGAGAGACCACTGCCGTATTTTACTTCTGGTGGCACTCCTAAAATTGGCTGCTGCAGACTTTGTTTTGTGCTTGCTTGCCTATGTTTTGCTTTACATGACTCTCGAGCATATTCACAGAGACAATCTCCATGCCTCAATCAAACTCAGTCCTTTAGACCTCTTCTTGACTGATTGAGCGTGGGCTTATTGATCTGTGAATGAGCGGACCCAAAACGGCTAGGACACAGAGCACGAGCAACATGAGGAGGTAGCCTAAGCAAAGGAGCTCTGTTATATGGCCATATTGAGATGATGATGATGCATGTGAATTCTGATGATCGGTGATAACTCCATATAAAAATAGAGTTACTTTACCAATTTAGGCAACACATAATGCAATGTTTGTGAGAAAATATTTGGATTTTTTTTTTACTCCAATTTTCCTTGTTTATGCAGCACAATGAGACATGGAGAAAATAAGGAAAAAATGGCAAAAAAAAGAAAAGGAATGGCAAAAGGAAGAAAAGGAAGATGCCATCCGCAGAAGAGTTAGAAGATGGATGGCAAATCAGGAATTCTATGATTTATTTCCTAATTTTATGTGAAAAATAAGCCATTGCCTTGTGTTAGGATTCTTGGATGTTATCCTATAAATAGGATATTGATTAATCCATTTAGTACGAAATTTTGTTTCTAAGATTGTCAATTTCCATTTATTCTAAACTCTATTTTGATCTGTTACATAAATTTTAGAATTAGTCCATTTATAATATTTAATTGGTTTATTAATCATCAATCTCTGTGAGACGATACCCTTCTCATCATTATATTACTTGTTCGACACGTTTATTTGCTTTTTAGATTTTACGAACGATCGGTCATCGTCGCATCCGGGTTTGTCTCTTTCCGTGGCTTCTCGGGGAGTTTGTTAGGATCCTCCTTGTCATAGCCTGCATTAGAGATCCGAAATCAATAATTCGATTGCGAATAGCTTGGCTCACTAGATCAAAGAGGACCGGAATGTTTAGTGAATTGGGGGATCAAAGAGCACGGACAATTAAATTTCTTCCAGTACGAGCCTTTCGCTGTCGAACACGACTCGGTAGCCCGTCATGAAAGAGTTGCAGTAGGAAAACGTGATCATTCCCATAAGAATCGAATGAAGTATCTAGATTATATAAGCTTGAATCTGGGATTTTGGTATCCCAAGTCCCACACAAATGATTCAGTTGTTCGTAAGTATTCATTAGACCTGTTTAACGATAGTGGAAGTTTGAACAGAGATCACGAATCTTACGGCCGATTATGTTAATTCCCGCATCCTTGACAGTGGCGAGGCAGTACAAGAGTGTCTCCTGCAAAACGGCGGGAAACAAGAACTGTCATGTTAGTTACGATTCATAGAACATATATGTGAAATCATTTGCGTAATTGAGCCCACTACCCGAGTAGAGATGACAATTGTAGGATCATGGACAACAAATTGGTCGCCTCCTTTCATAGTTAAACTCATGCTTGGCACGAAATTGGCGTTGCCTCTGGGACTGTCCATCACCAAAATAACTAGCTTTCAGTACATAACATCACCAGAAATCCCAAAACATCACCTCATATGATAACAATACTCGAAAGGGATTCTCGAGTCACGAAGGCGCCGCTCATCTTGTACTTGTGAGTGAAACTGCAACAGAAACGACAACATCAAACGAACGCAAACACAACCTAGTCATTTAGGAAGTGATGCGGTTCTGCATCAAAAAATTTAGCTTACGCTTTCCAACAGCCTGGTATAACTTGGATCGGTCAAGCATGTGAAAGAGGTCTCGGGATCGAACAGAGTGGTGAGGTTCATATTGAGTTGTGTCTGTCCTATATGAATTTGAGTCACGGTGACATTATAGCTCAGTCTGCAAAAGCCTATAAATTGGAGTTTTTGCATTGCCTCTGCAATTAAGATGAATGTGAAACAGTGTACAATGACTCTTTCAACCCAACCTTAATAACTGAGCTTTCAAGTAGTAATTACTTGTCAATTTACCATTCCATGAGCATGAGGATCCTGTATGCATGAGATAATTAACTATGAGAAGTTTTCTCAATATTTCACATATTACTAGATATGCCATAGTTTGCGACTTGAATAGCCATTCAGCAATTGAAAGACTCGGGAGGAATTGGCATATTCTTGTAAATTAGTTGAAGATCATTTCAATGTAATTCATTTCCTAGTCGTTACAAAATTGGTTTTATGTTCTTTATGATTGCAGAATCAAAGACATAGCTCATTCCAAGGTACGGAATATTTCTGGTTCTCTTTTGTCAGTTCAGTATTTTCGAATAATATCATGGGCCTGAGAATATCATGTCATGTCCTTGAAGTAGCAAAGTGATAATCTAAGAAAGTCATGCAGATCAGAATCAGTCTTCTATCTAGAACACCTCTGCAGCAAAATTTTTCAATCACATCATCTTTTGTATCATTAACGCTTCTTGCTATTACGTGTGATTGATCAGCCTCCAAGTATATAGTGTCGCTCCTTCTGCGACATAGATACATACACAATGGAATTCCCTCGTGGTGATGATCAGGGCCATACGAATATATTTCGTGCTGTGAAACATTGCTTACCTGGCCCTGTAAGTTTCTCATTTTAAAATGTTGTTTCTCGTTGAGGAAGCCAAGGTTCGCGCTGGTGGCATGTCAAATCAATGTATTTGACACAATGTGGAAAAGACAGGAACGTGAAACTTGATTGTACATTATCATTTATTTGCTTCAGCCTGTGGATCTCCTACTTATGTGAAAGAGGAAGTAGCATTGTTTCATTCAGCTTTTTAACCCTTGGTAATAAGTTAAACAGCATAAATGAATAGACTACTGACCATCGAGTTTCTTTGTTTTGTACATTGTATGGGAATATCACTATGAAATGTAACATTTCTTTTGTATTCTGGATGGTTGCTTGTTGCTGTGGCCTTCAAGATATATGTGACATGATTTACTGCATTGCAAGTCTTTAGGATTCCCCTGGGGACAATAGATCTGTCGGACATTGTAATGAAGTTTCCGGTGCCCAGCTCAGTTAAGAAATTTCCCCATTTGCAGTACACTTTCATTTTAACTGCAAGCAAAGAGTTGCCAAAACAATGCACTAGGTATGGGACTACAGCTGGCAAATATGCTCACAGGAAGTGTGTTTGCATCCGAATTCCTGATGATGCCACATGTCAATCTCTATTGGAGATGATGGATTCACCCTTAATTTCGACCAGGTTGGATTTTTTTGCATCTGTTCATGGTGTATATCATGCTATGCATGCCAAGCATATCTAATTAAACAAATTCAGTAAGTATCCCTTACTGATTGTCCTGCTTTCTAGTGTCAAAGGGCCAAAGGATGACGACTGGATGATAGATCCAATTGTCATAGCTGATAGTTATGGACCAGAGGTATGTCTACATTTTAATAAGTTGGATCTTGCTGACTATTTGAGATTTGATTTTTCTTGTTCATCACAAAAATGTGGCACACAGAACTGAACTTTAGCAATGCCTGTGCATTAAATAAATGTACGAATATCTGCTAGAGATAAACCGTTCTAATATTGACTGTTTTCAGAACAATTACTTGGATGAGGTCCTTACCAAAGGATTTGAACAGATTGGCAGAAAATGAATAGTTTCGTGCATCCCCTTCTTACGTGTTTGTCCTAAAATCCTGCTATTTAACTCCTTTTCCACGGAAATCCTGGAAAATTCTGCATTTTGATGCATTATTATGGTCGCATTTGCTCAGATTTTTGGAGAAAGGGATTATCTCAAATTTTGGTGCGTGCATTACTCATCTGTCTGTGGGATCAATAGAGACAAAAATGATGTTTTGTGTGTTCTTTTTCTTTTGTTCCTTATTGTATGCGAAATGAGGGCCTTGACTTTGTGGTTGGTGGAGGCATCAGAGTGGCTGACGCATCTACTGTGGTTGATATGGTGGGACGTTACCCGAAAATCCTGCGGCAAGGGAAGGTAGGCCGCTATCAGCATCATTTTGGGTCTGTATGTGCATAAATATCATGATGTAAGAGTTTGGAAGGAACCATCTCTTAAGCGATTGCTTGTGTGATGATGGCTTATGATTTTTATCCCGAGACATCAGGCGACTTCTTTTCTGTAACTGTACGCTGTAGCTTCAATGTTCTGCACGGATAAATTAGAGCAAAAACGGGTAAATAGTAAACATGTTCCTGTTCAAAGTGACATGACAAGAAAGCTCTAGTTAAGCTAGCTCAGTCGCTAAAAGGAAAGTGACTGTCAAACGTATGGAGAGTTCGCCGCGTTTCGGGCGTACTCCACTTCTCTGATGCTTCAGTGTTGCGGAATAATCTCAGGGACCTAAATTGCCCTGGATGGTGGCTGAAGACGGTTTCGAAGCTGCGGACAGCGAGAAGGATCGCATTGCTGGCGCTACTCGATCTGTGCATCTTGACCGATGGTATGTATATTTCCTAATGCACACTGGGGGCATCAGGAGTCCTGATCACGTGTAAAATGGAGTCCTCTATTGTACAGGGAGATCGAAGCAACAATTTATTGTTGCTGGTGTAAGTGAAGAGAACAACAGCGATTGTAAATATTTTGTTAACTACAAACAGCTGTCCTTAAAAGGGTATTTCGATCTCTTGACCGTTTGTTCAGAGCAATGCATCTTCGCCGTTATTCTGGCCATTCACGGAACGCGAGAAGGAGACGAAGAATCATGTGCGGACAAAGAAGAAATCTGTTTGATAATCCTCTCTCTTTTCTTTCCTTTCTCTCTCTCTTTTCCGGCCGACCGCTGGTCGGTGCGGGTACTTCTCAGTTGCATCGACCCTCCGGTTTGGAGTTGACTCTCTACCTAATCAATAATAAAACAATGAATCACAAGTTGAGCGGGCTAAAGCTTACGTGCATAAATCAAAGTTGCTCCAGCATAAGCATGTGGCATCAAATACGGCAAAAAAGCCGAGTACTTCTTGGTGGGATAATATAACGCTTCAGAAACACACTTAGCAAAGCAATTCTCTTCGACCTGCTAATTCGCCGACTGTCACAATCATGGTTAAACCGTTGCCCTAACTACCTGATTATAAATATCACACGAAGATTAATTTATTGGATTGCAAGGCAGGTGAGCACTCCCCCACCACAATATTCCACATATTGTTTGGCAAAAGTTGGGGAGTGGACCGTATGCGTGATTGGCTTGGATACGAACGAAGTGTCATGATCCCGGAATTAAAAAATAATGTGCCTTGTAATAATTACTTGATTTGGTATATTTTAATCGAGAATAATAACCGCCCTTGACAATGATCGCATTAGGGATAATATTTTGAAATGCACGGAATTATAAATTTTGGCTTGTGAGGGCAAAAAGGGAAGAGGTTTATAAAATTTGCTTTATTAAGTCCATCGAGTGCTCGAATGTGATTGATTTGTTCTAATATGCGCGTGTCATGGAATTTGTCGACCGGTTCTATGGTCTATCCGTTGCTGCTCTTTATTGAAAAAAGCTTCACGAGTGATGATGGCGAAAGAATATTCGTAGGAGCGCCATTGCCACGAGGCTTCTTGGTTGGACTTGAGGATCACGGTCGAGACGAAAGTGTTTCAATTCAAACGACGACGGGTAAGTTAGGCTGATTTTCGAGGTTATCTTCTGAAGTTCCAAGCTGCTTTTTGTATTACTCTAAAGTTTTTAATTTACCAGATAGAAAAGAGTTACTAGGGGTTGCGGCATAAATGAGAATTATTTAGTTTTTGAAAGCTTCATAAAAGGAAAATTCCGACTTCAACTATATTGGCACTCAGACGTTCAAGGATTTAAAGCCTGGAAAATTAACCAAAATTCACATTGTCATCGACACTAACAGCTAAAATTGCACCTTATGATGTGGATGCTCTAGCGTTCACATGTTATATTCGTGTCCGTTAGGCAGGCTATTTCAAAACGCTTTGGACAGGCAAGCGAATCGAAACAATGATGGTATATTCAAAAACGCTTCAGACGGGCAAGCGAAACGAATTGTATATTTAGAATGTGTATAATAATAATACTTCATCTGGAGAGAGCGTAATTTTCATTAGTTGACCTCCGCTAGCTGCACATGATGGCAGGCCGGCCATGCCCTTAGCTGTCCACATGCCATCACAATACGAACCCTTCAATAGCTTTCAGTTCCATCTGTATCCCTACGACCGGAAAGGGGGAGACGTGTTCAACTCCTTCAGCATATAAATCCGACGAGATAGAGGCCGATGCCATTTGCATATAAATTAAACATGAGACAAATTCTTATAATTCGAGAAGGAAAGATAAAAAAACATTATTTAGACCAAATCTGAGTGAACAACAAGCCCAAGAAGAAGACAGAAGGTGGAAGAAAGAGACTGAGGAAGGTACCTGACCATTCAAACAGCTTGCCAAGCAATTAAATAAGTATATAATCAAAAGGGCCAAGTAGAGCCTGATATATATCTCTCTCGGATGCTTAGACCAAGTACAAAGAGGGCAACTTGTCCATGCATGCACATACAGACACGCCACATCCTTAGACTCGTATAAACGGGTGCGAAGAAGTCGTGTTGTTGGGTTGAGAAGAAAACGTTGTAAGAGACAGAAGACACGAGCTGCTGCTGCTGCTTCTTCTTTGGTGGTTGGTGAGGGGAAGGATTTGCAGACTAGAGGGGACGGACATGGAGAGGTCGACGGCGAGGAAGTTAGGGTTTTGGGTGGTGATGGTGTTCGCGGCGACGACGGAGGTGGTGGTGGGAAGAGCACAACTGGTGGAGGATTTCTATGGCAAGACCTGCCCGAACGTCGAGAACATCGTGAAGCAGGCGGTAACGACCAAGTTCAGCCAGACCTTCGTCACCATCCCCGGCACGCTCCGCCTCTTCTTCCACGACTGCTTCATCGAGGTGAACCCTTTTCCTCCATGCATGTATTTCCAATCATGCTCCCTCCTCCGCCTCCCCCTCCACTTTCAGTTTCATCTGATTGATCACACATGCATAACCCTGGAAACTACTAGCTTTTGATTGCAATTCCAGAAGCCCCAAATGGATGGCTAATCCATTTGACAAACTCTCATTTCCATAATCTTTCGGATATTCGTCTATGCGTACACCGTGCTATTTTCTTTTTCGTATATCCTCATGCATATTTTTCTTTGAAAAAAAGAAATAAAAAATGCATGGAATATCATTACTTCTTCCACAACATTATTAAAGTTTTCTAAACGGTCAAAATTGTCGCTCGTTCTACGCCGGAGCTGAGCCGGGTTGCAACATCTGGGCAGGTTCCATCCTAAGGTCGTACGAGTTATGTCAATTACATAGAGGAATCATAAGTAACAAGAAGTTGACTTGGGAACACATGTTTGACGTTTTCAATCATTTTCATGGTAAAGATGAGACACTTCAGCTACCCCAATATCTTAGTGAACTTTCTCACGAAGCCCCAACCACCCCTTTTGAATTAATTAATCACGATTTGTCAAAATTTGTTGCGACAACAACCTAATTATTTAGGAACCAAAAGCATTCCTAATACAATTGCCAAACAAAGAAATGTTCCGGGGGCAGATAGGTACATCACTAGTTGGACATGACATTTCGAGGAGAATAATTAAAGAAAATCAAATCGATCGCGTGGATCGACAATCACTTTCATGTTAAATTAATCTTATGTCGTAACGTATATACAAAACTCTCATATATTCGAGTAAGCACCGACCCTTAAACGGACATCGTCGTGTTGATTTTCCTAATTGCCGACTTGATTGTGTGATGATTCGTCCGACTTGGTCGCCCGTTAAATTAGGGGAAATTAAAAAAGGTTAGAAACCATAAATCTATTCAGCGAACTTGCTTTTCAGGGTCCGTTCTTGTTCATAAGATATTTTCCGGGAGGTATGAACTTGTTCAGGATTACTTTGGTTAAGAAACACCTGGTACCAATTTTCATTCAATCACAGTTTCGGCAAGTTAATTTAAATGTTTTTTAGGGATGCGATGCTTCGATTTTGATTGCGTCGCCTAACGGGGATGCCGAGAAGGACGCTCCGGATAATGAGTCTCTGGCCGGAGATGGGTTCGACACTGTCATCAAGGCAAAGCAAGCTGTCGAAGAGACTTGCCCCGGCATCGTGTCGTGCGCAGACATCTTAGCCATAGCTGCTCGAGACGTAGTTGTCCTGGTAAGCAAGAACCTCCGGGGACAATTCACCCTCGCAGCTCAATGTTGAGTCAAATGACTATCATGCTTCAAGACTTAAACGTTTTATCACTTGTTCAATGTTGCATGAAAAATGTTCAGGCCGGAGGTCCATCGTTCAACGTAGAGCTCGGACGTCGCGACGGTCTCATCTCCAAAGCATCTCTAGTGGCCGGGAAATTGCCAGAACCGAATTTCGATCTCGACCAGCTCAATTCGATGTTCTCCGGACACGGCCTCACACAATCCGACATGATCGCGCTCTCGGGCGCTCACACCGTCGGCTTTTCCCACTGCAGCCGCTTCGCCAACCGTCTCTACTCGTTCTCCTCGTCGTCTCAAGTGGACCCGACTCTCAACTCTACCTATGCAGCGCAGCTAATGCAAGATTGCCCCCAGAATGTGGACCCGCAAATAGCGATCAACATGGACCCCGTGACTCCTCAGATATTCGACAACATGTACTACAAGAATCTGGTCCAAGGCATGGGCCTGTTCACTTCGGACGAGTCGCTCTTCACCGATTCGGCGTCTAAGCCTACCGTAGTGGGCTTTGCCGACAGCCCGGGCAAGTTCAATGAGGCCTTCGCCACTGCGATGATTAAGCTCGGGAGGGTGAATGTCAAGACCGGAAGCCAAGGACAGATCAGAAGAGATTGTACAGCTTTCAATTCATAACTTACAGTCACGGCTTGAAAATTCAGACATTGAATCAATAAGCAGTGCGTGGTTCTGAACTGTGGAATAAAAACGAACCACCCCATTTGTTTTGTGTCGGAGTATCTTATCGATTGAAATTGTCATACTGTTCGAGTAAACCAACTTTCAGAAATTCTTTCGATGTAATATTTGTTCTTTTACAAGAATTGAAGCCATCAAGGAAACTGATTCTTAACCATTCATGCAAGCAGATGGAGTAAGAGGATATATGCACCATGATGACAACAAAGAGAAGAACCATTTCTAAATTCATGCCAAATAGATGGCAAAGTAAAGAGCAGGTATATAGCACACTTGTCGCAACTCGCAACCCAAGAAATGTACATATACATCAATCTTCTACGGCACATGTCACTACCGAAACCTCTCTCTAATTAGGCTCACGATACAGGAGCAACGGAGAGTTCGACACTGTTTCTCATAATGCAGCACGTCAAGAAAAGCATGGTCTGATGGCATTACCAGCTGAACAATCAAGTCTCTTAACATCGCTTCATAAGGGATGAACACAACTCTGACCCCATCATATAATTCAGGCACGAGATTTTCCATAGAGATGGGCGTAAACAATTTTAGTCCGGTAGACAAGGATCATGCTCAAGACCACCGCGATGACGCAGAGTCCTGACATAATCATTGACGTCAGGAAAAAGCATATAGAACCTTCACATTTCAGCGGCTCATCCACAGCAAGCATGGTTGAAAATATCGACCCCCAGCTTCGCGGATGGTGATGGTGATGGTGCTGATGCGCTTGCTTCTCTGCTTCGTAATCATATATGCTACTCGCAATTACACCGGAGAAGACTAGCGAACCGGCGGGGTTAGCCAAAGTAAGGAAGTTGTATAAAGCGCCAAATTTCTTCAACCCAAACAACTCCGAGGCCATGGCAGGCATGATCGCCCAGTGGGCCCCATAACCAAGCCCGATCAAGAGGGTACCGATGTACATTGCCCCAGGCCATCCCATGGCAAAGAAAACATGCCCAATAGCCATAATGAATTGAGCCACAGCCATTGCCGCTGGCCTTGGATAAGCATGATCCCTGTTGGGGCAAAAGGCAACATCATGGTTAATGGTGATGCTAAAACAGAGGTTCTTTGGTAAGAAAATCACCATTGCGGAGGAAAGCAAATTAACTCCGTACCTTACAATGATTTCAGAAAAGTAGCCTCCGCCAACACGGCCTAGGAAGTTCCAAATGCTGATCATGGACACAAATATATGCGTGTTATTGTACCCCAGAGATTGGCTCATCTGGCCCAGATTATCGATAACCGTCACTCCAGAACCAGAACCCAGTAGAAGCGAGAAAAAGATAAGCCAAAAGTCCGCCTTAATTAAAGCCTGCGTCAGAGTGAAGTCCTCTCCTCTATGTGGGCCCTTCCTCCTCTTTACCCTCACTGCACCTTCGGCAGCAGCTTGGCAAAGTTTCGCCTGCAGCTGCGCTATTCGCTTTTGCCTCTCTGATGCCGGAAGCAAGTCCACCTCCTTTGGCTTTTCATCTTCAACTTCACTGAAAATGACCTCATGTCCATCCTGCTCAGATTTGCCTGGTTCTTGTTTCTGTGGCTCAGGCAGAAGAGGTTCTTGAAATGGTGCCCTTGAGTCTAAGAAGAAAGTCAATGAAACCGGCACCACGATCGGAAGCAGGAGCAGCACGAATAGAATCGCCGTAAAAATCGTGATCACTGTCTGATTCAAATCAACTAGATCTTCCACGAGCATGACCCCCATTATGTATGCTGCCAACAGAAGGCATACACTATAGATAAATGTAAAACTTAGTCCATCAGATGGGCGTAATTGCCTATGACCTCCAACTGGTCGGACGATGAACATCAGAGCAATTGTGACCATTGCTGGACCAACTGCAATCATGAATATGAGATTCGCATGATCGGGGGAATGGATCACCGCATAAATTTGTGTCAAAATAGCACCACCGAGCCCAGCAAAGCCTTTCAGGATGCCCACCACAGGACCCCGGCTTTTTGGGAAATTTTGCACGCAGGAAACCAGAGTTACTGTATTGAAGTAGGTCTCGCCATTGGTTCCAAGGAAGATGAGAACACACATCTACATAAACCAAAAGGAGCTCCATCAATAAGCACTCTTGACTTTGTCTCGCAAGCATGCCAAGATGCAGGGAAACAGGAGATATTCAGTAATAAGTGCAAAGGGATCAGCAGAAGACTAAATGATCTTGAGAGCTAAACTCCAAACAAGTAACTCCTGGTGATGCATAAGAACTCGAGAGTTTTCTTAGTTTGAGGAATCTAAATTGTTTGTTCCCTTGCATGAAAGAATGCACATGTACACCAATGGCAAAAGAATACTACCCAAATGTCTTGTTTCTTCTCACAGATCACAAAATGAAGGGAGAAGAACACTAAAAGAAAACACATATGTTCATAAAGGATCGGCACAAAAATCTTTTCATGCAGTCAAACATAGTTAATCTGCTTAAAGGACAATTAATAGGTACTATCATCAAAAGACAACCAGCAACTGCCAGAGGGCTAAATTAATTCGACGAGATGCATATGCTGAAATATTCTAACTTGTCACAGATATAAACAGAGAAATGTGAGATCTGGAGCTCCAAATGCTGCAGCCCAAGCCATGGACTCGGACTGCCAAATTTCAGCAGAAAATCATCACTCATCAGGTTATGATGCAGCCCCACCACCTTCCTCAAACATCCAAATCCATCTCCTCACAAAATAAAAACCATTACCACAGAAATAGCAAAGAGAAGTTCTGATCTACATTTCCTAAATCCTACATGACCTTCTACTTCCACAATTGACATCTCGAACTTCGTTTCTCTCAAATGTCCATCGGCATAACAAATTATAGGGATGTGCAAGAACAGATTTCGCCAGGTCCTATACATACACATCACCAAACACACACAAAACATAAATCTTATAGCTTCTGTTGCATCATCAATACTCACCGCCCACAAAGGCAGAATTGGAGCTCGGCCGGTGACGATGAGCCAAACCCAGCCATACCCAACAAAGTTCTGCAGAGCACCCACGAGCAGAGCACCCCACATAGGCAAGACCTCAGACAAGCTCCCAGCCAAGAACCCAACACTGTCCCCAAGATCCTTGGCCACGCCGAGCCTCGCAATCTGCTTCTGGTTGTAGCTCAACGAGCTCTTGATCACGGGCGATATGCTCCCGAACAAGTACCCAATACCCGCGCACGACTGTATCCACATTGCGGCCACGAACACCAGCCACCTGTTGTTGACCAGCGCCCAGAACCTCTCTCCCAATCGACCCATCGCTCGCGGCAGCCCTCAGGGACGAGCTCCGATATCGATCTCCGGTTCTTGAAATGGGTTTCGCGCGATCTTTTGCGGGAGCAAAGAAAGCCTCGCCTTTTCATCGAGCGAGCACTAGGTGGGGTGCTGGGTTGGATATTTAATTACGGGGAAACAGAGCAAGGGAAAATGGATGGATGGATGATGATGACAACAACGACACGGGACTGTTCCGCTTTTTCTTTTTACCCTTTTCTGTTTTCTTGCTCTAGAGACCAAATATAGATTCCCCCTTTGCCCTTCCGGTGCGGCCAACTTCGGACCGCCCGATCTTCAAGCTGAGCTGCCGCTGTGTTCTGTCGCGCGGCAACCCCACGGCGGGGCGTGTCAGAGGTCGCGCGTTTCGCTGTCGCGGGCGGACGCCGAGGGGCCAGGGACGATCGTGGCCGTGGGGATAAAGATCTGACATGGTTTTGGCGGATGCTGACGAGCGAGAGACGATCGACGCGTCAGCGACATCGCGCGCCTCCGTCGCCATCCGAGCGACAGGGTGGTGCTTCTGTTCGCGATCGCCGTCTGCCTTGCTTGAAAGGAACTTTTCTGTTTTTGGTCTTTAATCTTTTCCCTTTTTTCGGGAAGAATTCTTGAAATTTTGAAATTTGTTAACGGAAAGAGGCCCCGTGCGAGAGAGATAAATCGCAATTCCATAAAATTCGCAGTAAATTTAATAATAAGATGAGAATATTGATAGCTCGTATCGCTTGAAATCAGTAATCAATAAAAAAATATTGTCATTATCGATAATAATATGTATGTAAATAGTCATGTTTGTCAGCGATGCAAGCAGATATTTTTATGAAAATATTTTCTGAATTTTTCATTTTTTGCAAAATAAATGCTGCCAAAATCTCAAAGCCCGCTCACGATCTCGGATCAACATCTACGTGTTACAATGTTTGGTCGAAGATCTTCTTTCCCCAAACACAATTCTTCATATGCTGACCGGACCATGAGGATTGTTTTCCAGATCTCGACTAAATTAGAAATGGAAATTCCTTTCAAAATTTCAAGGATGCCTCTTGCATCATGGTAAATAGATGGAGACCAAAAAAAAAAAATCCGAAAGTCATCATCGCCCTCTACAAAAAAATGAATTTAATAAATTTCAATTGTTAATGCGCGATTTTTTCGTGTTAAATATAATTAATATTCGGAACATGGGAATATTTTGGAAAAACTGGCGGACACCATTCCTATCCTCTTATTGTCTTTTTTCTCATAGATTTCAAATTTTTATGATTTTTCGGGCCCAACATGCAATTTTCTATATGAGATTCTTTTGGTAGGCTTGGCTCAAATGCGCCAATTAAATTTAGTTAAAGACTCAAATATCATCTCACAAATATAATATATATAATATTATCCATATATATATATATATGTAGCATTGCATTTTTTATATCACATGTTTTTCTCGTGGATGCTACGGGGGGTCCAATAGTTGAAAAGCGAGGCTATGTATATTCTTGGAGCTTCGCCAAATTGAAAAAGGAAAAAAGGTCCACGTCTCCTTTTAGCAAATCCAAATCTTCCCATCATTTTCAAGGTTCAATTGGGAAAAAGCAAAATTCGTTTTTTTAGCTCCAATAATTTTTGCGATGGGGACGTCAAAATTTATTTGTTATTACGCTTGGAGTAGAACAAACGACACATGCAACAGAAAAGGACGTTTAGAATATAAAATAAAAAAAAATTGAAAAAGAGAGAGAATTATAAAAGGAAAAAATAATAATAAATAAAGATGGGAAGGAGTGACCGATCGTGGAGAGAGTCGCTTTGGGCGGCCATTTGAAACATTTTTTTTTAAAAGCTTAGTAGCATTTATGGTTGGCTTACGGGTCATCATTTATAGAGCATTTTATTTAATTGTAATACTTTGCAACATGAAAATTTATGAATAAATTTGATTGGATAAATGTGTGTCACGTCAAGATTGATGTGACGCTTTGATGCCACTTTAATATCTTCCCAAAGAGAAGAGAGCTGCTTTGGGCAGCCATTTGAATCTTTTTTTTTAAAAAGCTGAGTAGCATTTATGGCTTAATCAATTTTGATAAATACGCGCCAAGTCAATTTTGATACCATTGAATATTTTCTCTACCATCTTATCAGGATTATACAATACATTATCTTCTTAGCTTAATCAATGCTCGCGGACACGAACCCATGGACTTGTCCTCCCAGTATTCCGGTTTCGACTTTACACTTACTAAAGAATCACAAGTATATTAACATTTCGCTTGATGCATTCCCAAACATGCGGGACTCTATAAGGGAAGGAAAACGTCGGACGGAACAAATACGAACGTCAATGAATTTAACATTCGTGTCATGACGCGCGCTCTTCTCTTCTGCGCTTTCTTTTGTTTATGGCTTTTGCTCGTGCACGCAAAAGCAAAAAATATGATTTATGGAACCCAACAGCTGTCATCGTGAGATGGACAAAAGTTGATGCAATATCACACTCAATGACAAGTTTCTACGTCGACGTATACAAATAAAACAAGATCGTGTCAAATATATTTCAAACATCACATTGACATTTCAATGCCGTGTGGCAGCTTCTCTTTGGCCTCTACTCCTATATGAATTGAATTCTCTCCGGAGTCGTGTTTGCAAATGTGCCTCTTGGAGAGAGCAAATGGTCGCGTACCAAAAGCTAGCGCACGTGACATAATAGTTGGGCCAAACGTTGAGACACGTGGGGGGTGTGGTTTTCTTTTCTTTGTGTTTTTTCTCTTTTGGGTGTTTTTTTTTTTTGTATCCTTCTTAATGAATGTCAAGCCATAGGAGGACCACCAATTGGTAGGTGCATGTCGGGTTAAGATGGGAATCGATGGAGATCTAAGACAGGTATGCTGTCCTAATTTTTAAGGTGCTTCTCTTTGACCATTCAAACGGGACGGCCCCGTTGTCGTCCTCCGTACACCATTTGATTCCCATGCGAACGTGCGTGGGTCTCGGATGTCTTTTTATTTTATTTTATTTTCGGGATCCAGGTGGAGCGGGTAGGTAGAGAGCATATTTGCAAAATCAGTCTTCGAATGTTGATAGATGGTTTAAAAGCATATGGTTAGAACCAACGACAGGCGGGAGGCAGGAATCAAATTAGTGCGGCCTCTTTTTTGAAAGAGGATTTGCAAAAGTCGGGCATTTGATGTTTCTCTCCCGGACACTTAGGGCGCGCATGGAATCCATTCCTGGGTAAAAATTCGATCGAAATAGTCGATTCCAAATCGAAACGTTTGTTAAAAAATAATAACGCATTTTGTAAGCTAAAAATTTTCGTATTCCTAGAATAAAAAATGCGGCTTAAAAATACTTGATTCCATAATGTATTCTTGATTCCATAATACATTCTTGATTCCATAATGAGTTTTGAGCAAGAAAAAGAGAAGCTTCTCTCTTCCACAATGCATTCTCCCTATTTTCTTTCTTTTTCTCACTATTTTTTTTTTCAGAAAATGCATAAAAATTGAAAAATTCTAGAAAAATTCATAAGAATTTACAGAAAATAAAAAAAAAGTCAGATTTCGGGAAAATAGGAAATTTGGTAAATTTTTTTCAAAAAATATAAAAAATCAAAAATTTCAAAACTTCACAAAATGGCGTAGAATACCTTTGCAAGACTTTGAGTGAAATTTAATTTTTTGAGGTGCTCAAAAAATCAAAAATTTCAAAATTTCACAAAATGACTTAGAATACCTTTGGGCACCCACTTTGAGTGAGATTTAATTTTTTTGAGGTGCCCAAAAAAATCAAAAAATCAAAAATTTCAAAACTTCACAAAATGACTTAGAATACCTTTCAGCACCCACTTTGAGTGAAATTTATTTTTTTGAGGTGCCCAAAAAATAAAAAAATAAAAATAGATTTCGTTCTAGAAATCAATTTCTAGAGCAGACTTATCGTGTTTTATCAAATGATTTCTCCTCCAAAAATCAATTTCTCAAGAATTCGAAATCAATTTCTACCAATTTGATTTCTGGAGCAGAATGGTTACCATTCGCACCCTTAGGCACCACATTTTCCTCTTTAATCACGTTTCCAAGTCCGCATGGCGCATGATCGAGGGTCTCGGGCTTTGATTAAAAGTTCATTCGTACCGCGAAATGGGAGATGGTTGTTATTAGGTTCATATCTCGTCCGGAAGAATCTCGAAGGAATTGCTACAGCCAGGTAAAATGAACTGTAGATCGAGATTTGTTGAAATTCGAAAATTTCTTCGCCTCCCACGAAGCTATCTTTCGATAAAATTGTGCCATAGAAAACATGAGTTGAAATTTCTCATTTGGGAGATGATCGATCATTTCTTTCTCTCTATCTTTTTTTTTTTTTTTTTTTTGCATGGATCAATGTAAGCATGCCTAATTTGTTTTGCGGGAAATTTTCAATAAGCGATGGACCCGAAATGAGTAACCTTTTTGAATACTTTGGTATTTTGCCCCTCTCTAGTTCTTTGCCTACCCACGTAAGCGAAGGGGCACGATGTCTAATCGTGGGGCTAAATCGAGCTTTCTTCCTCTTTAGATCGGGTTCAAAAAGGGTGAAAAAAAGAAGAAAGAAGAAGGCTCTCCTCTTTGTAAATATCTTCCACCGGTGCCGGAGCTCTCGATCGAGGGAAAGAAAAACCGGTCACATATTTTTAGAAATCTCCTTGACCTTTTTTTTACTTACAGATGAGCATTTGAGATTGTTTAAGCGCTTGATTAAACCCATCGATCAATCGGGTACGATAGTCGTTCTCGTTCGACGACGCACGTCGCGTGGCAGGCACGTGGGTCCTCGGGGCAACCCTGAGAAGCCAGCCAGATAGATATGGCGATCAGGCTTGGGACGGGAGAAGATGAATGTGGTTAGATGAGTGAACCTGTTTCGGTCATTTATATTATATCATTTTACAGGAAATATGCCAACTGGTGGGAGTCGATATGTCCGAGTGGTTAAGGAGACAGACTTGAAATCTGTTGGGCTTCGCCCGCGCAGGTTCGAACCCTGCTGTCGACGTCTTTTTCAAGTCTTAATTTTTTGCCACACGCTGTCAAATTATTGGGCTTTCTCATTGGTTTTTGGGCTGAAAACATTACTCGTCCGAGCCTTGGATTTAGTCCAACTATTGGGCTCAAGGTCATTTTGGCTTCTTTTTTTTCTTCTTTTTTTTCCATTTTAAAATAGTGTTCGTATTTCTTCGAGCACCCGACTAATTCTCGTTGAGCATGGTTGTCCCCGTTGCGCACGCACCAGAATTAGTCATTCGAATTTAACCGATCTGAGATAAGTATAAATAAGGTTACTCTTTCTTTTTTTTCTTTTTTGGTTTAAATTTTTTAGGGGTTAACACGACGGACTCCGATCAAAGTCTACTCCCTACTCCATCTTCTTCCACCGACAAAATGCCCAGCGTAATGAGTTACTCCTAGTCAGAGGTGATTATTTTCATGCGCATGAATAACATTCATGTCGTGTCATGACTAATAGGAACGATTACACAGATGGTTCATGAACTTTGATCAAATATGTAATGTCATCCCCAAATTTTTATTTTGTTCGATGTGGCCTTCAAATTTTGACCCAATGTACAATGTTGTCCGTGAACTTTTAATATGTTCAATCTAGTCCTTGAACTTTTGATAAATATTCAATCTAGTACTTATATCATTTAAAAATATCAAATGTTACACTCCATTAATTTAAGCTCTAAAATAACATTAAACATTCTCATAAAGTTTCGAGATCAAATTAAGTATATATCAAAAGTTTAGAGTTCGTATCGAACAAATTAAAAGTTCGGAAACAATAATATCCGGATACAATAGTCAAATTAGATAATTGCGTGAAGATTGGTCTTGACATGATTTTGGTACGAACGCGAACAACACAAGGACCTCCAAGCCCCACGATGCCCGCCACTCCCAAAAAGGGGGGCAAAAAGAAGAAAAAGAACATCATCGTACGGTCTGTGCAAGAAGGCTGAAACATCACGGCATCAAGTCAAGTCAAAGTCTACGAAGACTTTTTGGGTCTACGAACCTTCCATGAACATAGCAAAGAGCTTTGCGCCGAAGAAGAAGAAGAAGAAGAAGAAGAAGTGTCGCGAGCTCGCTCCACAAAAATCCAACGCCACTCATCGTTCTCTCAGTCCCCATCACCATCAAGAATCGCCCAAATTGCAGATCCAATCTCCGATTCTTGTGTTCATCGACGACCCATTTCCTCCGGCCATATCACCATCCATCCATTCCATACGGATCGAACCGAAGAGAGATGGCGACCCCGGCCCCGCCCGACTTCAAGAACGCCGCGGCGGCGGCCAAGGCGGTCCTGTCCGCCGCGGCCTCCGTGACGGCCGCCGCCATGGTGGTGCAGTCGGCCGTCCACACCATCTTCCCCCGCCGGTTCCGGGGCTTCCTCGTCTCCGGGATCCGGGGCTTCCTGGGTCGCTTCTCCGACGAGATGACCATGGTCGTCGACGAGTACGACGGGTTCGTCCAGAACGAGCTCTTTGAGGCGGCCCAGGTCTTCCTGGCCGCCAAGCAGTCCCCGTCGACGCGGCGCATCCGGGTGACCAAGCCCAAGAAGGAGAACCACTTCACTCTGGCCATGGACCGTAACCAGGCGGTGGTGGATACGTTTCGCGGGGTCGAGCTCAAGTGGGTCTTCGCGTCGAGGCAAGTCGACTCGGGCCACCGAGTTCATCAGGGCCGGAACTCGACGGTTCAGTCCGAAGTTCAGTACTTCGAGCTCACCTTTCACAGGAAGCACAAGGAGATCGTGCTCAATTCCTACCTGCCTTTCGTCGTCGACGAGGCCAAGTCCATGAAGCAGGGGAAGAAGACGTTGAAGCTACACACCCCGAGCTTCGGCCGCGTCTATGGCGGTAATTATCTTCGAACTTCAAGCTGGAATCAACGAGATAAGTCTGTGAAGACGTTTGGTTCTGCTATTAAGAGTGTGGAAAGGAGTACAAATACTAAAATTCACAGAACTTTTCAATTCAATCGGACTGGCAGTCTTACACCTTCTTATCTACTGCGATTCTGATGTCGATTTCTTCAACAAAAACCGGAATTTTGTATCTCCATCACAATGTTTTTCCTCTACAGGTCCTCTCTCAGATGCGTGGGCCCCGGTGAACCTCGACCACCCGGCGACATTCGAGACGCTGGCCATGGACCTAGAGCTCAAGAAGATGCTCGTCGACGATCTCGACAGGTTCGTGAGGAGGAAGGAGTACTACAGGAGAGTCGGCAAGGCGTGGAAAAGAGGGTACTTATTGTACGGACCCCCCGGCACAGGGAAATCGAGCCTGGTCGCGGCAATGGCCAATTACTTGAACTTCGACATATACGACCTAGAGCTGAGCGGGCTCCGGAGCAACTCGGAGCTCAGGAGGCTGCTCGTCGCCACCGCGAATCAGTCCATATTGGTGGTCGAGGACATCGATTGCACTATTAAGTTGCAAGATAGGATGTCCCAAATCCGAGCGGCGAGCATGAATACTATGCCGACTGGTCCGCAAGAAGATCGAGTACCAATTTGTTTTTTGGCTTTCTCTTTTAGTATAAGGTTTAGTTCGATTGTTGCATTCTATGCGTGTGATCTGTCCTTGTCAGTTAACTTACTTTTTGTCGCTACAGCATTAATCTTTTCTCATGGAACTAGAACAGGGTACATTGTCTGGATTCCTCAACTTCATTGACGGGCTTTGGTCGAGCTGCGGCGATGAGCGGATCATAGTCTTCACTACGAACCACAAGGAGAAATTAGACCCGGCCCTGTTGCGCCCAGGGCGCATGGACGTGCACGTTCCCATGTCCTATTGCACCCCGTGCGGGTTCAGGCTTCTCGCTTCTAATTATCTCGGGATCGATCGCCACGAGCTCTTCGACCAGATCGAGAGTTCGATCGCGACGGCTAGAGTCACTCCGGCCGAAGTAGCCGAGCAGTTGATGAAGAGCGACGAACCGGAGGTCGCTCTCCGGGACATGGTTTCCTTCCTCGTTGATCACGAGAGGAAAGAAAACGAAGGAGTCGTTAAGGAGAAAGTTTGTCAGTGTCAAACGGTTCAAGAAAATGGAGGGAGTGAATTAATAAATAAATGAATAATGGTATTTTCCCATCGTTTTTATTCAGACTATGTACTAAGAAAGATGATATGCGAGAACTTTGTACATATTTTAATTTAATTTACTTGCCTTATTATATTTCTTTTGATTGTTATCAGGTTTGGCCAATTCCACCCGGTTGAAAGGTTGCGTCGTAGGGTCTTACACACTGGTAGTATTTAAGAGAATTATCGATCTTCACGTATTAGAGTTTCAATTCCAACACGAAACGAAATTTGCGACAAGACGAGTTGTGTCGACCATCGAATGATGGTGTTTCGTAAATAGCACGGGACCGCTTTTGTTTTCTTCCTCTGCTACGCGACAATCCTTTGCATGAGGACAATCTAGGCCTACCATCTATATGTAGATGAATTCCCCTGATGAACGGCTCATCTCATGCGCAAAAATACACACAACGCATCCATTAGTATGCCCATCACAATCAATCTTAACAAAGAGGGACCTGTAGCATCTCTAGAATGTCAAACAAAAACAAAAAGTTCACTGCAACCGCATGATACAATCAGGAAATGATGGCTACAGAAGGAAAAGGATGAAGGGCGAAAACCCAGATGACTACCAGCTGCATTCGTTGCGCTGAACCACCATTATGCTCCGGAGGAGAAGGAAGAAGCAGTCACAGAAGAGTGAGAGGAACCATCAACATCAGTGGAGAATATAATCTCTGCTTCCTCTGCAAATTCTTCATTAACTGAATCTGTAACAGATGCACAGCCATTTTGTACCTAGGGACGGGACAACTCTTCCGAGAGACTACTTCCCCTGGACAACAAGCTAATCCTACCCTTTCTCGCGTTCTGGGCCTTCCATAGAATCTCGTAATTGCATTTTCCTCTCGATTTTTTCCATATTAAAAGGATGCCCCTATTTCTTTGAGCATCCGACTAATTCTCACTAGGCAGAGTAGTCCCCTGTTAGACATATACCGATCAATAACTCGAGACGCACGTGTCGGCTCCGAGGATTGCCTTGAGAAAACGCGTATATACCGCGGTGCTAATTCAATTGACTAGCGACAAGGACAGATAAAGTTGTCCTTTACTTAATCTTTCAGTGCTTTTTTCTATTAGCAGACAGACAGGCTTTCCAAAAGCAAAACAAGCTAGAAAAGTTTCCAGCTTGACCAAAAGACCATTTCTCCGATACTAGAGCTCGGATCAAAGTCTAGAAGTCAACGCTCCTACTCCATCTTCCACACGAAATGCAGAGCGTGATGATCACTCCTAGATGTCCACGGATCATGTTCAAAAGAGTGCCGCGAGAATTAAGGGCAAAACAAATTCACTTGCCAATGAACGCTCATCCGTCGATGATGGCGTCGTCATCGATAAGTAACATCGTCGATGCAGTCAAGCTACGCTGACACGGAACGTGCCATGTACATGCGGCTTTCGCCTTACATCGAAATACAAATCATTCATTCGTGGGATCGTTTTGAAGTTGTAGGAACAATTTCCACCGCTCTGAAAAGTCAGACAAAGGAAAAGCGTGAAGGTAGGTGCAAGAAGACCGAAACATCACGGCATTAGAAGGGCAAAGTCAAAAGTCTTTTGCGAAGACTTGGACTATGAACGGTTCATGAACCAGCTTGGTCAAGAAGGCGAAGCACCAAATTTCCCAATAATTTGTACTTTGTGCCGCTAGGTCAGACTTCCCTTAAACAAAGAGGTCTTACTACACAACAAAAATTTCACTAAGCTCACTCTATAAAATCCAACGCTTACTTCATTGTTCTCTCATTCACCCAAAAAAGATCATACAATCAACGATTTCATCTCGCGATTTCCTCTGGCTCAATTGCCATCTATTACCAGACTGCTTAGATGACGACTCCGGCTCCAACCGACTTCAAGAATGCCATCGCAGTGGCCAAGGCGGTGCTGTCTGCCGCTGCCTCCGTGACGGCCACTGTGGTGGTGGTCCAGTCGATGGTCCACACGATCGTCCCCCGCGAACTCCAGGGCTTCCTCTTCTCCAGGATCCGTGGCATCTTCTCTCGCTTCTCCAACGAGATGACCATGGTCATCGACGAGTACGATGGGTTCGTCCAAAACGAGCTCTTCGGGGCGGCCCAGGTTTTCCTGGCTGCCAAGCAATCCTCTTCGACAACGCGCATCCGGGTGTCCAAGCCCGCGAAGGAGAACCACTTCACTCTGGCTATGGACCGGAATCAGGCGCTGGTGGATACGTTTCGTGGGGTCGAGCTCAAGTGGGTTTCGGCGTCGAGACATGTCGACTCGGGCTACCGAGTTCATCATGGCCGGAACTCGACGGTTCAGCACGAAGTTCAGTACTTCAAGCTCACTTTTCACATGAAACACAGGGAGATGGTGGTCGAATCCTATCTGCCTTTCGTCATCGACGAGGCCAAGTCGTTGAAGCAGGGGAAGAAGACGTTGAAGCTACACACTCCGAGCTTCGACCGCGTCTATGGCGGTAATTATTGTCGACCATTAAGCTCAAATCAATGAAATTATGTGTAAAGATGTTTAATTCTGCTGTTAGAAGTGTTGAAATTAGTAAAAATACTAGATTCACAAAACTTTTTAATTCAACCGGACAAGTCAGAAGTCTCACTTGCTACAGAAAAGTTCATATGCGACATCCTAAAGAACATTAAGGTCAAAATTCACTAGCACCGGTCTTGCACCTTCTTCATCAGAAAACTGAATTTTGTATCTGCATTACAAATTTTTTCCCCTACAGGTCCTCTCTCAGATGCATGGGCCTCGGTGAACCTCGACCACCCGGCAACATTTGAGACACTGGCCATGGACCTAGAGCTCAAGAAGACAATCATCGACGATCTGGAGAGGTTCGTGAGGAGGAAGGAGTACTACAGGAGAGTCGGCAAGGCATGGAAAAGAGGGTACTTATTGTTCGGACCCCCCGGCACGGGGAAATCGAGCTTGATCGCGGCAATGGCCAATTACTTGAACTTCGACATATATGACCTAGAGCTGAGTGGGCTCCGTAGCAATGCGGAGCTCAGGAGGCTGCTCGTCGCCACTGCAAATCAGTCCATATTGGTGGTCGAGGACATCGATTGCACCATTGAGTTGCAAGAGAGGAAGTCCGAAACTCGAGCTGCACGCATGAATATAATGCCGACTGAATATTCACGAGAAGATGTACAATTTTTTTCTTTTTGGCTTTCTTTCTATTATAAGGTTTACTTCGGTTTGTTGCATACTATGCATATGATCTGTCCTTGACATTTCACTTATGTTTGTCACTACGAGATTAATTTTTGTCTCATGCAACAGCTGACATTGTCTGGATTGCTTAACTTCATCGATGGGCTTTGGTCGAGCTGTGGCGATGAGCGGATCATAGTCTTCACGACGAACCACAAGGAGAAGTTAGACCCGGCCCTGTTGCGTCCAGGGCGCATGGATGTGCACGTTCACATGTCCTATTGCACCCCATGCGGGTTCAGGCTTCTCGCATCTAATTATCTCGGGATCGATAGCCACGAGCTGTTCGGCCAGATAGAGAGTTCGATCGCGGCGGCGAGAGTCACTCCGGCCGAAGTTGCGGAGCAGTTGATGAAGAGCGATGAACCGGAGGTTGCTCTCAGGGATATGGTTTCCTTCCTCGTTAATCACAAGAGGAAAGAAGATGAAGAAGTCACAAAGGAGAAAGTTTGTCAGTCCCAATTGATTGAAGAAAATGGAGGGACTGAAGAGGAAAATGGAAAGTGCGAAATAATTGAAGAATAAACAATAAATATCTACTGAGTTGGTATGTTTTGATCAATTTTAACTTAGATTATTATAAAGATGATGATTATTGAGGATAAAGTGATCGTGGGAAGTTATTGCATGGTCATTCTGAGTCATTAATTATATGGGTCAGATGGTAAAATCACTTACCACATGGTCAATAGTCTAGATGAATTTGATTTACATGGTCTATCAATCTTGTGACATTTTTTCTGCGATCGATATTAATATCGTGCCGGGGGTATAATTTGCTTTATATTGTTATATCACGCCGAGGACACATGATCTTGCACTAAGTTTTCTCATGGTTTGGACCTTTCCACGGAATCTCGTATTTGCTTGGGTTGGTCGAAAGCATTATTCCTCTGAGCTTGGATTCTAGTCCAATTATTGGACTCGACTAATTCTCGATGGATATCACATGGATCCGAGCTCGAGAATGGTCTCGAGAAAATGCGTATGTGCAGTGATTCGAATCAAATTGATCAGCGATAAGGAGGACAAATGAGGTCATGTTCTTTTCCTAGGAACACGACAAGCTTTGCCAACGCAAAACGAGGTAGAAAAAGGTTCCCACTATCACTGGTCGCACTCGTATCGTGCAGCGAGGGTTAAGGAGAGAACGTTAGATAAATCATTCTGAAATGGAACTAACTTACATCGAGATGCGATCATTGAATAAGATAATCGCGCGGGGTTGGTCGATCTGACTTGAACATATTTGCCACCACCCTCAAAAGAAAAGGCAAAGAACAGCGCCCGGTCGGGGCAAGAACCTGAGTCTAGGAAGACTTGGACTAGGAACAGTCCAGGAACCCGCTCGGTTAGAGAGTTCACTCCATAAAATCCAGGAATAATCATGCAAGGTTCATGAATTTTAGCCTAATGTGTAATGTGATCCATGTATTTTTAATTTGTTCATTGTGATTTATGAATTTTAGCATAATTTTCAACTAATTTTCAATATGATTCATGTATTTTTTATACATGTTTAATGTAATCCCTGAACTATATAAAATTATTCAATTTTGTCCTTATATTAATACGAGATCAAGCACAATATTAAACATTTTCATGTAGTTCAGGGACTAAATTAAACATGCACAAAAAATTTATGGACTCCATTGAAAAAAAATTAAAGGTTCAGGGATCACATTACATATTGAGTTAAAATTCAAGGACCACATTGAATAAATTAAAGGTTCAGGGACTACATTACGCATGGAGCTAAAGTTCAGAGACTATTTGTGTCATTTTCCATAAAATCCAAGGCCGACTCATTAGCGGTGTCCCATTCACTCCGGAGAATTCTACCAAAATGTATCGATCTCTGATTCTCATATTTTCATCTCCCGATTTCCTCCAATCAAAAACCATCTATCCCCCCGTAGATTGAACTGAAAAGAATGGCGGCCCCAACTCCAAACTACTTCAAGAACCCCATGATGGTGGCCAAGGCTGTGTTGTCTACCGTGTCTTCCATAACGGCCACCGTCATGGTGGCGCAGTCGGTGATTAGACCGTTCGTGCCCCCCGAATTCCAAGGCTCCCTCTTCTTCGAGATCCGCCGGCTTCCTGTCTCGCTTCTCCAACTGACGGGTAGGCCCAAAACGAGCTCTTTCAAGCGGTCCGGGTTTCCCTGGCTGGCAAGCAAATGTAGTCCCTTTCGATGCGGCGCATCGAAGTGACCAAGCCCACGAAGGAGAACCAATTCACCTTGGCTATGGACCGAAATCTAAGTGCTGGTAGAGACATCTCAAGTGGGTTTTCATGTCATGACAAGTCAGCTCGGGCTACCAAAGTTCCTCAAGGCCGGAACTTGACGGTAGAGCACGAAGTTCAGTATTTCGAGCTCACTTTTCACAAGAGACACAGGGAGATCGTGGTCAATTTCTATCTGCCATTCTCTAAATGCGTTTAATTTCACGGAAACATTTCAGTTGGATCAGACTAGTCAGAAGCATCCTATATGTGAAGAACTTGAGAAATGGAAGAAAGAAGAAGGAAATCTATAGTTGAAGATATGTGAACTTCTATTCATCAGATTATGCAGAGAATCATCATACAGAACTTCATCTGAGAGCCTTATCTCTCTCTTGTGTATCTCACTGTTTATATAGTTCATACAGCTAAAACTAACGCTCGAGTTTACAGCTCATGTACCAGAAAATACAACTGAACAACTAAACTAACAGAAGAACAATTCTGTTCAACTGAACTAACAGAATGTTAACTACTCTGTTTTTCCTTAGTTCTAAGAATAGAAATCAGTTACGCAGACACTGTTGCTGCATATAGAAGACTTGAGCTTCAGCTTTCCACTTCTTACTTGAGCTTCAACTTCCACTTCTTCTTTCTTTTCTGTAGTCTCAACATCCCCCCGCAAACTGGGTGCAGGTTTGAACCCCAAGTCCAGTTTGGTTCTGAGAGTGGAATGATCAAGTCATGACAATGCCTTGGTGAAAATGTCAGCAAGCTGGCGATGACGAGGAACATACTGAACTCGTAAGGATCTCAAGGAGACCTTTTCTCTGACGAAATGAAAGTCAATTTCAATATGTTTAGTTCGAGCATGTAAGACATGATTGGTAGTAAGGGAGATGGCAGATTGGTTATCACAAAACAGAGTTGTAGGAGAGTGAAGAGAGATGCCAATATCACGTAGGACAAAACTAATCCATGTAAGATCAGCAGTAGCAGATGCAAGAGCTCGATACTCTGCTTCAGTAGATGAACGAGAGACAGTCGGTTGTTTCTTAGCGGACCAGGAGATGAGATTGGAACCAAGGTATGTGCAAAAACCAGTGGTGGAACGTCGGGTATCAAGACAGCCAACCCAATCAGCATCGGAGAAGCCGTATAAGGTCATAGAACTTTGAGAGTGTAGGAAGATTCCCAGATTCATAGTGCCCTTAACATATCGAAGGACTCGCTTCAGTTTATGAAAATCAGCAATGGTTGGTCGCTGCATTTTCTGACACAAAAGATTAGTGGCGTAAGCAAGATCTGGGCGAGTTATGGTGAGATACTGAAGCCCGCCAACTAAACTTCTGTATTCAAGTGGGTTAACAAGATAGATGTCATCTTCCGTTGTGTGGAGAGGCCTTACAGATAGTGGAGTTGCTATTGGTTTGCAATCTTGCATTTGTGCTCTTGTAAGAAGATCAATAGCATACTTGGTTTGGCAGAGAAAAAGATCAACTGAAGTACGTTGGACTTCTATCCCCAAAAAATAATGAAGTGAGCCCAGATCTTTCATGTGAAAAGAGATCCTCAGAGATTTGATGAAATCATCAAGCAACTGATGTGAGTTACCAGTCAACACAATATCATCAACATACAGAAGCAACAAGATTGTGTCAGTGCCACGATGAAACACAAAGAGAGAAGGGTCTGTAGTGCTGCAGAAAAAACCAAATTCAAGAAGAAAGTTGCTGAACTTCTCAAACCATGCACGTGGAGCCTGGCAAAGACCATACAAAGACTTCTTGAGTAAACATACATGATGAGGCAAAGTAGGATGGATAAAACCAGGGGGTTGCTCCATATAGATAGATTCAGTAAGCGTGCCATGTAAAAAGGCATTTTTGACATCTAGCTGACAAATAGGCCAGTGCTTTACCATAGCCACTGATAAGACAATACGGAGTGTGGCTTGTTTCACTACGGGGTTGAAGGTTTCAAAAAAGTCTACTCCTTCTTCTTGGTGAAATCTTTTAGCAACCAAACGAGCCTTCAACCCGTCAAGACTTCCATCTGGTGCTAACTTTGTTTTAAACACCCACATACAGCCTATGATATTCATCTGAGCTGTTCTTGGAACTAATATCCAAGTTTGATTCATATGCAGGGCATCCATTTCCTCATGCATGGCCTGAGTCCAGCCCTTATGAGCTAGAGCTGATTTAAGTGATTTCGGCTCAGCTAGAACATTATATTCAGCTAAGCAAGCATATCTGGGATTTGGTTTAGCTATGCCAGACCGGAGTTGAGTTTGCATAGGATGAATAGAAATATCACGGGAATGATGAGGAAACG